TCCAGGCGCAATTTTCACACGTCATCAAGTTACAGACATCCTCACCGTTCAACGGACACGACTTCTTTACCTGGAGCTTCGAGTTCGAGCTGCTGATGGAGGCTGCGCATCTCTTGGGATACTTCAACGGGTCCCTGCCATTCCCAAGCAACGGCACTAGAAAAGAGCAAGAAATCTTCACGTATCAGTCGCTGCTGGCGTACACAGTTCTCCTGCGGAACCTGTCACCACAAGAGCAACAAAGCATTAGAACGTATCGGAGCTACGGAAACTCCGCGGAACTCGCATGGCATCACCTCAAGTGTCTCTATCAGGCAAACGACAGCGTGACACAAAGCAGACTCATGCAGCAGCTGACAACAATACAGATGAAGACCGGAGAAAAGGCGATGCAGTATATGAGTCGATGTCAAACACTCCGCGACCGCCTGCTTCGGTGCGGAGGTACAATCACTGAAGAAAGCTTCGTGACGCTTGTCCTCGCTGGGCTCGGGCCAGAATGGAGAACCACACGCTCGCTTCTTCGTGCCCACGGAAGGATCTCGGAGATGCACCTCTGCGCCGAGCTTCACGCTGAACAACAGGAGATGGACTGTTCGAAGAAAGACAACCAAGGAAGCAGCAGCAGTTAGTTTTCTACACTCAACGAAGGAACGACAACAACTACAATCGACGCGGCAGGCAAGATCAACGCGACAACAGAGGACTCACCATTGTACCGCCGTTCTGCCACAACTGCCAAACATCCGGACACTCCAAAGTCAACTGCACACGTCCCCGAGCTTATCGTCCAGTAGACCCACAAGTTGCTTCCACTCAAGAAAGTCCGCCGAGGCGCTCTTCAACATCTGCACAAAATACACCGAATATCATTAACTGCATGGTACACATTGACAACTGCGCACCCGGATCACCGCCAACTTACGCTCCCGATGAAGAAGAACTACCGCCGCCGCGCTCACAAGGACTTCAGGTCAACCCGACATACGCTGCAGTCGCTAACGCCGAACCCACCGGTCGAAACACCTGGTTCTTGGACAGCTGCTACGGTCAACACATGTGTTCTTCCGGGCGCTTCGTGCAACAAGAAAAATGCCTCAACCGCGACGTCATCATCACCGTCGCCAACAACGAGAACCTGAAAAAAAACAGACAAGGCGTGGTTCAGTTATAGTCCTTGGAAACAAACGTCATCCTGCAACTCAACAAGGTTCTAATCGTCGACAACTTGGGATACAATCTGCTAAGCGTCAGCCAGCTAATGGCAAAAGGGATTCACCTGGAGTGCGACTCGGACTCCAACGAGTTTCGCCTTTACCACGGGAAGGGCGGTATCTTCATCGGTCGTGCTCTCCTCAAGTCCGACGTCTTTGTGTTGGACTTCATCCCCGACCGCGGTACTGCCGACAGCGATGGCATCGTGTCGTTCGCCGCCTGGACACACCCGCCGGATCTTGACCCCGACTTCAACCCCGATGGATTCTGGTACTCCAACACCATACCTGCAGCAGAGAGAACACGAGCGTTAGCAGTCATCAGACAAGAAAGACAAGTACCAGCAAGCGTCCCTTCCCAACCATCACCTGCAGCAGCAGCAGGACCCAGCCAAGCACCACCACCAGCGATCCGAAGACCACCAACCGAAGCAGATCAACTTATGCCCATCACACGAGAAGTCTGCCGAAGTCCCGCCACGGTCGTCGCGTTCTTCTCCAACACCGACATATACCACCGCTCGCCCGGCCATCGCGCTCCCGACGACATCTGGCACCAACGACTCGGGCACCCTGCAAAAAGTACAATACTGCAAACCATCCAAGCCGAAGTGTTAGAACGCAACGCTCTCCTAACAACGAACGGCCAAGAACTCCGACGACCACGCGCACGGTGCTTTACGTGCCCCGAAGCCGATCTTCCCCACCAGCCTTTCCCATCTCATCACAACCCAAGCGCACTTGCATACGCAACGATGGAAAAAGTCTACAGCGACATTTTAAACATGCCTCGAGAAGACACTGAAGCCGACTTCAACTACTGTATGTCATCACGTTTATCGACGCAGCAACAAGATACGTCTGGCACTACAACCTTAAGACGCGCGATCAAGCCTTCGACGCCTTCACGACATGGCTACCCATCGCCGAACGAGAATCAGGAACCAAGCTCAAGAGCTTCCAGTCAGACGGCGCACTGGAATACCAGTCACAATGCTTCAGGACCTATCTGGCGGAAAGAGGAATCAGACGCCTGGTGTCTCTACCCTACGCTCACCAGCAGCAGGGGGTCACAGAACGCATGAACCGGACCTTGCAGACGACGATGCGAAAGCTGCTCCTGGGGATGAGACTGCCCACCACACTGTGGCCAGACGCGATGACACATGCAGTCCACCTGCACAACCTATTGTCCTCGTCATCGCTTCCCAACAACGCATCACCGCACCTGCTGTGGACACGAAAAAGGGGCAGCACAAAATTACTTCGGGTTTTCGGCTGCATGGTACAGTACAGACCCCACACAGCCCGAGCAGGACGCTTCACTCAACGAGCTCGGTGGGGACTACACCTCGGCATCGCAAAACATTTTCACGCATGGAAAATCCTCGACATACAAGACAAAAATACAGTGGCATCACGTGATGTTATCTTCTACGAGCGACTGACGCTGCAGCATTACCTGGACAACATTGCCAACACACACGACCCCACCGACGGCTTCGCGGGCCTTCGTTCCTTCGCCGACCATGCTGCCGAGGCTGACGCAGCAGAAGAAGACGTACCTGGAGCCTCGGAAGCTGCCGGACAACTCCCTTTCTGTTCCGTACCTGTTCCACTCGACGAAGACAATCCTCTCGATAGTAACAACCTCGACACCTTTTACCACTTCGCTGACCAAGGTTACATTACACCCCACCCGGTCGACACAAATGTTTCAGAACGCATCGGCCCCAACTTCTTACCTGATCCAGAAGACGGTGACGAAGCAGCCTATTCCAGGAATGAAAATTCCCCTCGACACACACCCACGGGACTGCAGATCCTCGGCCTCTGGGTCTCCGTCCAGCATCCGCCGCCGCCATCTCCGCGTGAGCCCTCGACTCTGTCGCAGGCTCTGGGGGGGGAACATAACGCGAAATGGAAGGAGGCGATGGAAAGGGAACTAAAGGCTCTGCAAGACCGAAATACATGGAAGCTGGTACCTGCAACAAGCATCAACGGGAAGAACGTCCTCTCGGGAAAATGGGTGTACCGCATCAAGACCAATGCGGACGGCTCCATCGAACGATTCAAAGCTCGATGGGTCGTACGAGGCTTCGATCAACGATACGGAACCGACTACACAGAAACTTTTGCCCCAGTCTCCTGTCACACCTCCCTGCGCATCCTACTCGCCGTCGCGGCCACAAAGAAACTACCACTGCGCCAAATCGACGTCGCAAATGCTTTCCTGTACGCACCTGTGGACGCCGAAATCTTCGTCGAGCAGCCCCACGGTTTCATCGACGACCCTACAAAAGTATGCCAGCTGATAAAATCCCTCTACGGGATCAAACAAGCTCCGCGGCTGTGGCAGCAGCATCTTCACGGCCGCCTCATCAGAATCGGCTTCCTACAACTGCCGCACGACCAAGGCATGTATCGACTACAGAAGGAAGAAGCCTTTATCCTTCTCATCGTCTACGTCGACGAGCTGCTCTACATCGGCTCCACTACCGACATCGCCACCTGGTTCGAAGGGGAGCTGAAAGAAGACTTGACACTCACGGTGTCCGACGCAGTAACCCAGTACCTGGGACTGAATGTCGTCGAAGACAACTCGGCGTTCTACCTACACGCTGGAAAGTACGCAGGCACTGTCGCGAAGAAATTCGGTCTAACGCCGACTACGGTCCCAACTCCCTACCACTACGGGAACAACAACAGCACCTCCGCAAAACTCCCCGCGAAGCAAATCCAGGAGTATCAACAGAAGCTCGGCTGCCTACTATTCGCAGCAGTAACCTGCCGGCCCGATCTCTCTTATAGCGCGAGCCAACTGGTGACGCATCTGAAGCAGCCGGAACAGAAGATCTCGAGGAGCTCAACCGGGCACTACTCTACTTCGTCTCCACGCCGACGACTGGGCTTACCTACAGCAAAGTAACAACACCGTCCGTACGACTACTCGGATACGTCGACGCCGACCACGCGGGAGACAGGGAAAATCGACGATCGAGAACGGGCTACATCTACCGACTAGAACCTATCGGGACTATCTCCTGGCAGTCGAGCAAGCAGGAACTAATCGCACTATCTTCGGCTGAAGCAGAATATATCGCCCTCTGCACTGCGACCAAGGAAGGACTCTACCTACGAGAGTTGCTCGAGGAAGCGAAGATCGCGACCCTGCCCGTCTTCTCACTCCTCTGCGACAACCAATCTGCGATCAAAATCGCGAACAAGGACGGCTTCGCCAACCGAACCAAACACATTGCCCTGCGGTACTTTTTCGTCAAAGATGAAATCGCGAAGGGGAGACTTCAACTCAGTTACTGCCCTACAACAGAAATGGCCGCAGACTACCTGACGAAGAAACTGGCGAAGGCGAAGTTCGATTACTGCATGCTGCTGACCGGGCAGACAAACGTCACCGGATCTGAACACGTCAGCACTCCAGAAACGAAGGGGAGTGTTGGAAATATCTCAAAGGACTTAAGCGTTTCTGAAGTGTAACACTACACTCGAGGAAGATCACAACGGGTACGCGAGTCAACGGAGGTTACACGAGGGGGTGGACAAAGAACGTTACAACGGCGCGGATGGTAACCGAAGCGACAATCGAGTCGCTGTGCGACTCGATAACCGCTCCTACAACTGTATTCTACAACTGCTTTACTTTCCTATTTTCCTATATATTGCTGTATGCTTGTCTCTTTAATTAATCACTTGTTCTCACATACTAGTACAAGGGTTTAACTACCTCAAACTTCCGCTGCACTACTCAAGTCTTTTACAACTGGGACTTAGTCTCTGGAAAGATCCTAAGGGCATTTCTCAGCCCAACATTTTCCTCTTCCTTCTAATCATTGCGTTATTCTAACATTGACTTGCGTGCCGTCAGATGGAAATCGACAAATAATGGACGGCAAAAAAACGCGAGGCACTTGGGTGTCCCAAAATACCTTCCGCATTGAACTTGAAAGCCACCCTCGAGTGCCGCGAGTGACGTTACCCCCATCTACACCCACGAAAACGCGGCGTTCAAATGCAGGCCGTGCCTCGCAATTTGGGCCGCGGGTTTTAATTCCGGCAGGTATTGTATCTGGGAGAATACGGTAGTTAGCTTTGAGGTGTCTAGTGGTCGCAAGGCATGCCTTGGTCTCTGGGTGAATTGCACAGGTTGAACCTTCCTCGATCCATCCACCCACATGATTGACCTGACCACTACACATGCTAACCAGACAAAACTCCACAGGGTGTCTGGGGAAGGGCAAGCAACCCAACCCTTAGAGCAGGTGTGGTATGGACTGCAATCAGCTCTGCACATGTCCCATCTGTACGTATGCAGTACCTTCAAAATCACCTGCATTTGACGACTCGCTACACTGCATTTCTGAACCATGTTGCCCCCCTCCTCAACTCACGCAAGCGTTACGCCGTAACCAGCACAAAACCGCGCCAGCGCCTCCCAGTTACCAGCGCTCACCCCCTGCTGTATCACCCCTCCAAACCTCCCTGGACTCCTCCCTGTCAGCGCCCCCAGCCCCACCGTCAGATACTGCCTCGCGTCACTTGTCTTATCCTTCACAGGATCCTCCTCAGTCTTGCCTGCGTGGTGCAGCTGCGCATACGAAGCCGCATACCCCGACGCGATCTCGTCTGCATCAGGCACGTCGGGCTCTTCTGCTTGCGCCGCCTCCCTCTGCTCCTTGGGCTGCACCAGCAGGGTCAGCACTGCATCTAAGAGACGTGACCAGGTGGGCAGAGCGGCGTCCGCCTGGTGGGGGGTGTTGGTAGAGCGGAGAGAAGGAAGGGAGAATGGAACATTTGTTTCTTGTGGCGCCTCCCGCTGCTCCTTTGGCTGCAGTAGCAGCAGTCAACACGGCATCGAGGATGGGTGACCAGGTGGGGAGAGCCGTGTCCGCCTGGAAGGGAAGAGGAAGAAGAGAGCAAGCGGCGGATCACCATGAAGGGCGACGGCGGTGATGCGATGGTCACCATAGGAGGGCTGAGCGTACCTTAGCATCATCACCAGGCAGAGATTGCGAAGACCTAATACCTCATGCTCTCATCCCCCCCCCCACTTCGACTGGCACAGCATGTCACTGACAGCCATAACACAGAGCTTGGTCTCAACCCCATCAGCGATGGTGGGCAGGTTGGGCGCCCACTGCAAGACACCCTCAACTGTGCTGAGTGTCCATTGTACTCACTGCCAGCCCTCCTTTCCAGCCCACAACCCGGCAATCAAGCGCACCCCAGGCCCTGCCACCTCAGGCCCTGCCACCCCAGGCCCTGCCACCCTAGACTCTCCGGCACAGGCACCTTCCCCCACCTGCAGCTCGCTGCACTGGACGTCCATGGCAGCAACGGCGCAGAGCTTGGTCTCAACCGCATCAGAGACGGTGGGCAGGCTGGGGGCCCACACTGAGACACCCCCAACTGTGCACGTTGTACCCGGTGACAACACTCCTCTTCAAGCCACAATCCGCATCTCAGCCCACACCCACCTGTAACTCGCTGCACTGGCAAAGCACGTCCGTGGCGGCCACGGCGCAGAGCTTTGTCTCGACAGCATCGGAGATGGTGGGCAGGCTGGGCGCCCACACACTCGCTGTGATCTGCAGGAAGAGCCCCGGCTGCACTGCGTTGACTGACGCCACCACCGGGGCCACGCCGTGCTTGGCTATGAATAGAGACAGGAAGATGAGGAGGCCCCGCACGAACTTGGGCGTGCGGGAATTCTGGCGGGCGAAGTGGGGAGGGGGGAGAAGCGAGGAGGGAAGGAGGGGCAAGAGTGGGGACGACAGGGACACGGGAGGCATTGTGCGCCAAACATGATGAAGGGAGAGAGGATTATGAGCAAAGGACATTTAGGGTATCCATTCTGCCGCACCCACTCACCACGCTGCACCCCTCAGTACCCCTCTGTACCCCTCTGTACCTCTGTACTCACCTACCCACCCAGCCACCCACCTGCAGCCTGTAGAAGAGCAGGTTCCAGATGGTGGGGATGAAGGACGCGAGGGATCCGTTGACCACGTGTTGAGGGCGCCAGGAACGCGTTGGCGGCGGTGTTGAGGATGAAGCCCCCCTGGTGGACCCGAGTGCTTGGACACACCAAATGCATCCTTGTGCACCCATACTTACACCCACCCACATCCCACACCCCTCACCACCCACCAAAACCACTCTGCACCTACCCGCCCACCCACCTGCAGGCGGTAGAATAGGAGATTCCAGATGGTGGGGATGAAGGGCGCGAGGGACGCGTTGTCAAGGTGCTCGACGACGGTGTTGAGGATGAAGAAGCCCTGGTGGTCCGAGTGCTTGGACGCTATCAGCTTCTGAAACACGCCCAGCACCGGGGGCACCTGCCCGCCTGCTACTATCTCCTTGGACGCCTTTTGGAGATACGCCTGGGGAGAAAGGACGAGGACAGGGGGAAGAGGAGGGATAGAGGTGGGAGAGAGAGAGGGAACGAGAGGAGGGTTGGGAGGAGAAAGGCTAAGGAGAGGGGCGCACTATCCAGGTGCTCATCAACGGTGATGAGGATGAAACGAAGCCCTGGCGGTCCGAGTGCTTGGACGCGATCAGCTTCCGAAACACGCCCAGCACCGGGGGCACCTGGCCCTCTGCCACTATTTCCTTCGACGCCTTCTGGATGTAGGCATGGGAGAGGGGGGGAGGGAGGGGGAGGGAGGGAGAGGGCGGGAGAGGGCAGGATAGTGGTTGAGGCGTCCCCAGGCCCATCACGCCCAACACCGCAGGCACCTGCCCGCCCACTACGATCTCCTTGAAAGCCTTTTACAGACACGCCTGAGGTAGGAGGGAGGGATGAAGAGGACGAGGAGGGGCCACAGGCGGAAGGTGAGTGGGGGAGGGGAGTGAGGGCCATGCCAGGGAGGACAAAGGACAGCTGCGGTGGTAGGAGGCGGCGCATGGGTATGCGCCTGCAAACAAAAAAGGGAGGGAGGGGAGTGGTGGAGAGGACGAGGTGGAGAGGGGAGGGGAAGAGGGAGCTGCGAGAGAGCTAGTGAGGGCCAACAAAGGCGAGTGAGGAGAGAGACATAGAGGGACAGGCAGCGTGAGTGCAAGCTGAGGCGGTGGTAGAATGCCAGGACAATGGAGCGAGGTGCGATCACTGCACAGACCATTGGGGGCGCAGTCTCAGCGCACCTGAAGCAGGCGCATGAGGGCCGGCACACCGCCAGCCCGTTCCCCCAGCATGGTCGTGACTGGTGCAATGCACGCACCACTGGAGGAGGAGTTTCGGTGCACCCGAGATGGCAGCTCATCCCACCTGCAGCAGGCGCACGAGGGCCGGCACATTCCCAGCTCTCTCCCATGGAGTGGGCGTTACCGGTGCAATGGACAAACCACTAGGAAGGAATCTCAGTGTACCTGCAGCAGCCGCACGAGAGCCGGCACGTTGCCTGCTCGCTCCCACAGCGTGGGCGTGATGAGGGCCGGGAAGAGCGCCATGTAGGCTGCTGGCAGCGGCAGCAGCGGCGGGGCGGAGCGACTCTCAATGAGCAGCGCGAGGAGCTGACAGGGATGGGAGTGTTGCAGGGGGGCACATGGGGGGAGGGGAACGAGGGGGCGCATGGTGATGGCAGCAAGGATGCGTGCGGTGAAGCCTGCTGGCAGCGGCAGACGTGCTGCGGAGCGACTCTGGATGAGCTTGCAGGAGACAAGGAGCTGATGGATGGGGGGAGAAGGAGTGAGGAACGCGCAGATTGATGTTAGAAGGGGGACACGTGGCAATGAGATGGGAAAGAGCGCCATGTAGGCTGCTGGCAGCAGCAGTGGTGGTAGCAGCAGCAGGCAGGTGCTGCTGCTGCAGCACTCATGCCTGCTGCTACCACTGCTCTGTGGCAACATGAGGCATGACATTTCAGCAGCAACACCAGTGCCAGCAGCCGGCATGTCTGACTGACTGTGCCAGCCACTACCACTCATGCTGACTCTACGTGAAGGCATGGATCACTGACACTGCCAACAGCAGGCATCTCTACTGACTGTGCCACGTGTGGATGACTCTCACCATGGGAGGCCCACCTGAGAGAAACAACTGAACTCACCCTCTACACCCACCTGACACCTGACCCTACCTGAAAACCCACCTGAAACCCCAAGCCAGCCCACCTGAAAGGCGTACGGCGCAAACTCCTGAACGTCCGCGTCCAGCACGAGCTGCAGCAGAGGAAACACCTGAGCCTCGCACACAGGCACCTGGCCAGGTGCGTCCTCTGCTGCAGCTCGCCTGACGAGTGCAGCGACAGCCTCAAAGGCGTAGTGGTTGAAGGAGGGATTGGAGGGGTTGCGGCCCGCCGCCGTGAGCAGCGCGACGAGCGCGGGGAGGGCGAGTGGTAGGATGGCGGTGGGGCTGGCCGTGGTGGAAACCACCCGCATGAGGCACTTCATCACGTACTGGTTCTCCTGTAGAGGGGGAGGGGAGAGAAACACCCGCACAAGAGGAAGGAGGAAAGTCAGCTCAACCACCCCCATGAGGCACTTCATCCTGTATACGTACTGCTTCGCCCTACACCTACCTGCGAGTCCAGCCCTCATTATAGCCCCACCCCCCCTTACCTGCGAGTCGGGCATCTTGAGCGCTTTGAACAGCTCCCCCAGCAGTGGCTCCGCAAACGTCGCCACGTCCGCCCCTGAGAACCTGAGCTGGGCGCCGTCCCTCGTCATAAGCAGCCTCTCTATGGCGTTCGCAGCGTACGAGTGCACCACGTTCGACTCCGCCCCCACAAACCGCAGCAGCTGCGGCATCAGCTCCAGACACGTTTCTTTTGGGATCTGCCCGCGAAACGTGGTCAGGAACTTGAGCGCGTTGGCTTTCAGCACCGGCTGCGCATTCACGTCCGCCGCCCGCAGCTCGGGCAGAATCTGCCCGGAGAAAAACTCTCCAAGATTCACCAAGTTATTTGTCGCCGTCGCTCCCGCCGCAGCCGTTTTCTGCTTGACCGCGAGAGCAACCACCAGAAAAACGGCAGTGTCCTTGGCTTTCCAGTTGGCGTCGGGGTTGGCTGCGTACTGGGCGAGCTCGGAGTTGACGTACTGCGAGAAAAGGTGGGTCACCTCCGCCTCGTAGCTGGTGGACAGGCCCTTCACCAGCTCGCATGCCATGCGGCGCCGCGTGTCGCTGTCACTGCCCTCCATGTCCCTGAGTGGGGGATTAGGGCGGATAGCAAGGAGGCAGAGGCGGATGGCGAGAAGAAGGTAAGGAGAGAGGCGTGGGAGAGAGGAGGGGGAGGAGGAGAGTGTGTGGGGGAAGGAGGAAGAGACGAGGTTGGGGAATGGGGTGGGGGAGAAAAGGTTGGGGAAGGGAGGCGGCAGGGAGGATGGGGAGGAGCAGGTAGCAAGCAGGGCTGATGTTGGAAAGCATGGTGCGGCATTCACTGCTTTCCATACCCTTTTTGAGAGAGAGAGCAGGGTGAGGTGGAGCAGGGTGAGGCGGAGCAGGGTGAGGCGGAGCAGGGTGAGGCGGAGCAGGGTGAGGCGGAGCAGGGTGAGGCGGAGCAGGGTGAGGCGGAGCAGGGTGAGGCGGAGCAGGGTGAGGCGGAGCAGGGTGAGGCGGAGCAGGGTGAGGCGGAGCAGGGTGAGGCGGAGCAGGGTGAGGCGGAGCAGGGTGAGGCGGAGCAGGGTGAGGCGGAGCAGGGTGAGGCGGAGCAGGGTGAGGCGGAGCAGGGTGAGGCGGAGCAGGGTGAGGCGGAGCAGGGTGAGGCGGAGCAGGGTGAGGCGGAGCAGGGTGAGGCGAGCAGGGTGAGGCGGAGCAGGGTGAGGCGGAGCAGGGTGAGGCGGAGCAGGGTGAGGCGGAGCAGGGTGAGGCGGAGCAGGGTGAGGCGGAGCAGGGTGAGGCGGAGCAGGGTGAGGCGGAGCAGGGTGAGGCGCAGCAGGGTGAGGCGGAGCAGGGTGAGGCGGAGCAGGGTGAGGCGGAGCAGGGTGAGGCGGAGCAGGGTGAGGCGGAGCAGGGTGAGGCGCAGCAGGGTGAGGCGGAGCAGGGTGAGGCGGAGCAGGGTGAGGCGGAGCAGGGTGAGGCGGAGCAGGGTGAGGCGCAGCAGGGTGAGGCGGAGCAGGGTGAGGCGGAGCAGGGTGAGGCGGAGCAGGGTGAGGCGGAGCAGGGTGAGGCGGAGCAGGGTGAGGCGGAGCAGGGTGAGGCGCAGCAGGGTGAGGCGGAGCAGGGTGAGGCGGAGCAGGGTGAGGCGGAGCAGGGTGAGGCGGAGCAGGGTGAGGCGCAGCAGGGTGAGGCGGAGCAGGGTGAGGCGGAGCAGGGTGAGGCGGAGCAGGGTGAGGCGGAGCAGGGTGAGGCGGAGCAGGGTGAGGCGGAGCAGGGTGAGGCGGAGCAGGGTGAGGCGGAGCAGGGTGAGGCGGAGCAGGGTGAGGCGGAGCAGGGTGAGGCGGAGCAGGGTGAGGCGGAGCAGGGTGAGGCGGCAGCAGGGTGAGGCGGAGCAGGGTGAGGCGGAGCAGGGTGAGGCGGAGCAGGGTGAGGCGGAGCAGGGTGAGGCGGAGCAGGGTGAGGCGGAGCAGGGTGAGGCGGAGCAGGGTGAGGCGCAGCAGGGTGAGGCGGAGCAGGGTGAGGCGGAGCAGGGTGAGGCGGAGCAGGGTGAGGCGGAGCAGGGTGAGGCGGAGCAGGGTGAGGCGGAGCAGGGTGAGGCGGAGCAGGGTGAGGCGGAGCAGGGTGAGGCGGAGCAGGGTGAGGCGGAGCAGGGTGAGGCGGAGCAGGGTGAGGCGGAGCAGGGTGAGGCGGAGCAGGGTGAGGCGGAGCAGGGTGAGGCGGAGCAGGGTGAGGCGGAGCAGGGTGAGGCGGAGCAGGGTGAGGCGGAGCAGGGTGAGGCGGAGCAGGGTGAGGCGGAGCAGGGTGAGGCGGAGCAGGGTGAGGCGGAGCAGGGTGAGGCGGAGCAGGGTGAGGCGCAGCAGGGTGAGGCGGAGCAGGGTGAGGCGGAGCAGGGTGAGGCGCAGCAGGGTGAGGCGGAGCAGGGTGAGGCGCAGCAGGGTGAGGCGGAGCAGGGTGAGGCGGAGCAGGGTGAGGCGCAGCAGGGTGAGGCGGAGCAGGGTGAGGCGGAGCAGGGTGAGGCGGAGCAGGGTGAGGCGGAGCAGGGTGAGGCGGAGCAGGGTGAGGCGGAGCAGGGTGAGGCGGAGCAGGGTGAGGCGCAGCAGGGTGAGGCGGAGCAGGGTGAGGCGGAGCAGGGTGAGGCGGAGCAGGGTGAGGCGGAGCAGGGTGAGGCGGAGCAGGGTGAGGCGCAGCAGGGTGAGGCGGAGCAGGGTGAGGCGGAGCAGGGTGAGGCGCAGCAGGGTGAGGGAGAGCAGGGTGAGGGAGAGGGGGGGATCAACCCCCCCCCGAGACCCCAACACCTCCCCACTCTCCCTCCTCCCACCTCCACCTCCAGATGTGCGCGCTGAGTTGGTTTGTGAGAAATCTAAAAAACCCACGCGTCCCTCCTCCCACCTCCTCCGTCGTCCCACCCCCACCTCCACCCGTTCGCCGGATCCATGAAGCACAATTTGCATCACGGCTGAGCATTCCTCACATTTCCTTACAGAGGGCCTGTGGAGGGGAATCTGAAGGATTCTCAGTGTGGCGCACGTTGTACTCAGCAGATACGACGCAGCCATGTGAGCACACCACCACAACCCTGACTATGCCGCCACCTGAGGTGCCTCAAAGCACGACTCAACACCCACCAGCACACCAACACACGGCACACCAAAAGACATGCCAGCATGCCAGCATGCCACCTCACCACCACCCAGCACACCAGCACACCAGCGCTCACCTGCGGATGTACTCAACAAAGTTCATCTCGAACAGCTCCTCATCCTCGTCCCTCAGCCTGGAATTCGGCAGCACGATCCCCTCGCAGATCTTCCGCATGGTCTCAGGGTCTTTGAACAGCGCGTGGTGCACGCTGCGGCTCACAGTCGTCAGGAACTTGATCGCCACGATGGCCAGGCGGTCGCGCCCGGGCCCCAGCCCCTCGGGGGACTGGGGGAGCTTGATGAGGAGCGTCCACACGTCCGTGACGAAGGTGGGCAGGAAGTCCTTGAACTCCTCCTCGTTCTTCTCCATATAGAGGTTGATGTTCTCGCAGATGGCCGCTTTGAGCTGGTCCAATATGCCCTCCTGAAATGGGGAAAGGAGGGGAAGCACGGAGGGACAGGACGGGGGAAAGGGTTTAGGCACCGGCAGCAAACAAGCCTTGGCAGTCCTCCTCGTTCTTCTCCATGTAGAGACTGATGCTCTCGCAGTTGGCCGCTTTGAGCTGGTTCAGTATGCCCTCCTGGCGGGACGAAACGGATGGAAGGGAGTGCAGGAAGGGGAGCGGGCATAAGGGGGCGGGGGGGGGGGGAAGGGGGGGATCACCAGAAGCAAGCACCGCGCAAGCGAGTCCTTGAACTCCTCCTCGTTCTTCTCCGACTGAATCTCGCGCATAGCAGAGGAGAACATGGAGTTCTCGCACATGGCGGCCTTGAGCTGGTCCCATACGCCCTCCTGGCGGGGGCGAAGGGTGCGGGCCAAGGCGGGGTGGGGGAGAAGTGGGGGGGGGGGGGGGGGGAGGAGGCGGAAGCGGGGTTTGGGGTTCAGGGGTCGGGGTTGGGGAGGGGGAACGGGGGTAGGGCGTGTGGCAAGGGGGGTAGGAGAGCGAGGGGGGGAAGCGCGGGGGGAAGAGGGGGCAAGGGAGGGTTTGACACGAGAGAGAAAAGGGCCAGGAGAATGGAGGGAAGGGGGATGCGGGGAAAGAGGGGGCGGAAGGGGGAAATAGAGGCGGGAGAGAGGGAGCACGTGGAACGTGAAGGTGGCAGGCGGGAGGGAAGGGAACCGGGAAGCTGGTTCGGGGGGGTGGGCTGTTAGGCAGCAAAGGCATCCAGCGAGGGGGGTGCAGCAGAGGAGGAGGAGAATCTGCTGGGTCCCGATTGCCACCGCGCGGGGCTGTGTGGCCGCTTGGGGAAGAAGACAGGGGAGGCGGGAACGAAGGGGTCACGGAGAGTTAAAGAGGGGGGAAGGGGGGGAGGGGGAACGGGAGACGGAGGGGTGTGGGGGGAGAGAGAGGGGGCCAAGGGCGAGAAAGGATCGGGGAGAACGAGGCGCAGAAGTCGGTGGGAGAAGAAATGTGAGCTGCCCTAGAGACTAGAAGCTTCCACGCACCTTCTCGGGGTCCTTCTCGTTCAGCAGCGGATTCTCATAAGTGAGGTACTTATGGAACTCCCCCATCCATTCCTGTAGGTGATCCTCGAAAACTTCGGGCAGCTCTTGCGAGTTGAGCGAAAAAAAGATCCGGCAGATGAGGCGCTGGCAGTTGAGCAGCACGCGGAGGGTCTCGGGCTTGTCCTGATTGGCTGCGATCAGCTGCCCCGTGCTTATAAAGAGCGCCAGTATCGGCGCCACGAACAGATCTAGGCAGTACTTGAGCTCGGCATACAGCTGCGCGGATTTAAACTGGTGCCTGAATCTCTTAAAGATGGAATTCGCGGTTTCGAGGATCCCCAGGAGCACGCCGTAATCCGTTGAAGGCAGCTTCGATACTAGCTCGGGGAGGAGGTTCTCCCACTTGGCGGGGAAATCGTGCGTGCTTATAATGGAGAGCGCCTCGCTGATCTGCGCCTGGATCTTGGGCGGCGCGGAGAGCATGAGCGGCACGATGTGCTCCTTGATCTTCGCCTTCTCCTCGTCCTGGTTGGAATAGAAAATAACGACATGGCAGACGCAACGAGGCAGGAGGAGACTTAGTCTGGGGTTTATTTTTGGGGCGCATAGAAAAAATAAAGCATGAGTGGCACGATGAGGTCCTTGATCCTCGCCTTATCGTCGTTTTGGCTGGAATGCATGATCGCGATACGGCAACGCAACGCCGCAGGAGGGGAATGGATTAACGGTCCAGAATGAGGGGAATGGATTAACGGTCCAGAATGAGGGGAATGGAAGTATGATTCAACGCGCATCAGGTCATTGAAAGCAGAGATAGAGGATCCTTCCATCCATAACGGTTTCTCGCGAATTCGACAGGCCCAAAGCAACCGACGGCGGACGAATCCAGACGTCATTCAGACGGAATCCAGGCGATATCTAAACGAAATCCAAACGAAATCCAAACGGAATCCATACGGAATCTAGACGGAATGTACCTGAATGGGCACATGACCGAGCGGGTCATGCTCGGACGGCGCCCAGTGGTACTTGACGAAGTTCTTGAAGTTGACGGCGGCCGGCTGCAGCACCTGCTCGTCCAATCCGGGCGTCGCGATCAGCGCCAGCACCGTGATGCCGAACCCCGGCTGCGCCGCCGCCGTCTTGAGGAAATTCTCCGCCTGCTTGCGCGGCTCGGGGTCCGGTGCGAGCGTCTGGAGGAAGCACTGCGCGAGCGACTTGAGGCTCTCCTCCGTCGGCTGCATCTCGAACGGTGGTATCTATTTCGTGGTGATGAATGCGAGTGGATCGAGATAAGATGCTCCTGACCTTGGCACAAAGCGTGCGTTGCTGAAGGATGTGCTCGTTGTTTCCTCGCTGAGCTAAATCACTGGAATGGAATGGGCGGATCAAACAAGGCTTGCTATTGGGCCAGAAGAAGGGGTGCGCTGAGGTAGATTCTGTGGAAACTCTACATGGAAACTGGATCAGCTGGATGAAGGTGATAATGCTCGATGATTGATGGAGCATCATGCATGCTGTTCAGAGCGAGGTGAGGTATGTTTCATACTCCATAGGGTCAAGGTTGACGAGTCTGTAGGTACGATACCACAGTGCCATTTAGCCCGAGGTGAGACCCAACCTCAAGAACGTCGAGCTCAAAATATTATGCTGTGAAGTGAAACTGTAGGAAGAATGACACCAGCAGAAAAATGAACGCGCCCCAGTGAACAAAAGAGCCGGAGCGGGAATGGTGTCAGGGATCTGACAGGGAACCTGTAGATTCAGGTGTGATTCAAAACATAAGGGTCTGTCCCAAGCTTACGCTTTCACTCTTATATCCTAGCCAACCTTTTAAAATATTTATTATACCCTTCTGTCTCAGCGAGCATCTCACCCAACCGCAACCAAACGTGAGATGGGGACACGCCCTGAGAAATGTGTACATTTAGTGTGATTTGAATGTGGGATTTGAATTTTTGTGGGATTTGAATTTTTGTGGGATTTGAATGTGGGATTTGAAATTTTGTGGGATTTGAAATGTGGGATTTGAATTTTTGTGCTTGTGTATGATATGTACATTTAGTGCATTTATGTCAAAGAGTGAATTAACGAGTTATATATCGCACCTTCGTATAGGTATTGATTCCATGCTTTTACCGTCATAAGCCGGTTAAAATTTCTTAGAATATAATGTATTTTTGTAAACAACAAAAAAGAATAAGAGTATATATGGGTAAAAGAGAGGAATTTGTTTTGTTCATTAGTGTTCTAGTCAGTTTCCTTATCCAAACCAGCTCGTGTGACGCATTTTTCCATGGCTGCCAGCATCTCGGTCATGCCATCTGGCTTCCCGCCTGCATCCAGTCAGCTTTTGCGAACAATCTCAGCCACACCCAGCCACCATGCTCTTTCGTGAAGCTGGTTACTTCGTCGCAGATCTCTCGCTTACTGGCTTCCTCGCATAAGCATGGAATCTGCTCCACGGGCGTTCTTGGGCGAGCATCCCACGTCCCACTTGTCTTCAGAATTCGATTTTCTGCATTCCCAGCTATCTCGTGACTGGTCTGGTCTGGTCTCATTGCTGCTTCCATTCAAGCTAGGCTATCAAATATACGGCCTTCTAGCTCCGGCAGGGAAGACCTAGGCTCGTATTTAGCTTTCTAAACAAAGGAAGCTATCCCGCGCTCATCGCGTAATGGCTGCCACCAGCTCCGTCGCAGCTGCCGCGATGGCCGGCACGAGCGCGCCGATGGCTGCTGTCACGCGGGCCGTAGCCGGCTCGCCGTTTGCCTCGTCGGCGCTTCCTCCTGCCAGTGCACTCCCTTCAGCCGGCCTCTCCGCGGTGCTCGCTCCGCAGCAGCTGCAGAGCCAGGAGCAGAGGGGAACCGCGAGCCATGCCGGTCGGAGGAGCATCGCGACAGCTGCTAAGTCCTCGTACGTCTCGCGTCTTGCGACTTGGTCTCGCTAGAGTTTAGGGCGAAGGTTCCGCTCGCTGCTCGTCGGTTTGCTGGACAAGCATGCCGGTCGGAGGAGCATCGCGACAGCTGTGAAGTCCATGTGGAATGTCCGTGCAGACTAAGTTGAATGTTAACAGATTCGTTCGACAGCTATTATTCATAAAACCAAAACTCCCTGACGCTTAAGGTGAATGATCAGTTGTTGGCTCTCAAAATAGACGGCAGCTAACGACGCTCAGCAGGACTGGCCGCTAACAGTCTCTCTTTCATCCGTCAATCAGGCGATTCTTGACTGGTCAGTTGGTTTGGCCACACCACCAGAGCTCGCTCGTCTGGTAAACCTGGTTCTAGTCTGCTGTAGAGGAGGTTTGTTCAGGCTAGTGAACACGGGCTCAGCAGCCATGAGCAGGAACCTCACACCTTCTTGCGACGCAGCTTCGTGCTGACGAGCTCGTGAGGCCAGTTTCACTCTGGCATTGCGTATAGTCCAACCATCCTTCCCGTCCAGCCATCATCTTTCCCCGTGTCCGTCGCTGGCCCCTACTCCCCCTCCCACTCCCTCCTCCCCCCTCCCCACCAACCACCCCCGGTCCTTCCTTCCGCGCATCAGGAAGGCGGAGGCTCCGCTGGACGTGCGCGCGTTCAAGGCGGAGCACGGGGAGGCGGAGCTGGAGGCGGACCCCGCGAGGCTGTGGGAGCGGTACGTGGCGTGGCTGTACACGGACGACGCGCTGGGGCTCGAGCTCGATATCAGCCGCATGGGGGTCACGGACGCCTTTGTCGAGGCCATGGAGCCCAAGGTGAGGCGCGAGGCCCCTTGACGCACTTGCATGGGAGCCTGGATGAGCTGGAGAGAGCGGCATGGCCCCAAACGTACCGCCTTCTGTCCCACCCCCCACCCCGCTCTCCCCCCTCCTCTCTCTCCGTCGCTCGAGTTCGCAGCGGCGTTCAAGGCACTGGACGAGATGGAGAAAGGGGCTATTCCAACCCGGACGAGAGCCGCATGGTGGGGCCCTAATGGCCAATGCAACCCTTCCTATCCCCCTCCCCTCCTCCCCTCTCCCCCCCCTTTTCCCCTCCCCCCCCCCCCTCTTTTCCCCTCCCCCCCCTCCCTTCCCTCCCCCCGTCCCCCCGTCCTCTCCCTCTCGCTGCAGTTCGCGGCGGCGTTCAAGGCGATGGACGAGCTGGAGAAGGGCGCCATTTCCAACCCGGACGAGCGGCGCATGGTGGGGCACTACTGGCTGCGCAAGCCGCAGATCGCCGCCAACCCCACGCTGCGCAAGGAGATCGAGGAGACCATCGACGCCGTGGACGCCTTCGCCAAGGGCGTGGTCGATGGCACGGTGGGTGGGAGGGGGGGCGCGGTTGGGAAGGGTTGAGGGGGGTTGGGAAGTGTCGTGGGGTGCCTCATATCTCGAGGAGAGGAGGAGACCGTCGATGCTGTGGACGCCTTCGCCAAGGGCGTGGTCGATGGCTCCGTGGGTGCGAGACCCTGATGTGGGAGGCTCATCGAGGGGTTGAGAGGGATGGGGAGGGATTGGGACCAGTGATGCAGGATGAAAGGGAGCTACCTGACCCGCTGTCAATTGGTTTTGTGCTTTCCGTTTTTCCACCCTCCCCTTCCTCCGTCCCATTTCCGCCTATGTGCGAAGCACTTCTTCCCGTATTCGTCTGACCCCCTTGCTCAATCACTCGCCTCGCCTCCTCCCGTTTCCCTTCACTTTTCTCCCTCCTCCCCCCTCACCCCACTCTTTCACCCCTATCAACCCCCCGTCACACGCCATCAACAGATAAAGCCCCCTCCATGCCCAGCCGGTCGGTACACTCAGGTGCTATCTGTGGGCATCGGAGGCTCGGCGCTCGGCCCTCAATTCGTCTCCGAGGCTCTTGCAGGCACTGACCCTCCGCTGCAGGTATGGTGCCAAGCCTGAGCTGCAGGTACGGTGCCAATCCGTATGGACGAGCAAAACGTCCGTTTCCTAGTGAGAGTCTTTTAAGTGGCCTGCGGAGTGGTCTACAAAGGAAGCAAATCACCCCTCGCCTCTCGTCTCGACTGCTCCTGTATTCCAAGCGAGCAATGGAGGGTCTGGCATAACGCGTCCCTTTCAATGCTCGCCTCTCCATCTCCTCTCCTTTGCTCCCCCCCGTCTCCTCTCCCCTCCCCCAGGTGCGGTTCGTGGACAACACGGATCCGGCTGGCATCGACCGCCAGCTGGACCAGATCGGAGCAGAGCTGTCCTCCACACTCGTGCTCGTCATCTCCAAGGTGCGCGCTCTTTGCCAAGCCAAGCTGCCCCCTCCTCCACGCTCCCTCTCTTCATTTCATCTCATCGCTATGGTGAGAGCTCTTTGCCAAGCCAAGGTGCCCTCTCCTCCACGCTCCTTCTCGTCATCTCCATGGTGAGCCACTACTACTCTTTCTTCAATAGCATCTCCGTGTTGACCCAAACGACCCACACCTCTCACACCCCTGGCGTGCCTCTCAAGTCGCTGCCGCACAGCGGCTTGTTGGAATTGCAGGGGGGGCTCTGAGAAAAGCGTTTTGAATCTTGCACTCTTCTCGATATTGCTCTCCTCCCCTCCCCCCCACGCCCCTCCCCCTCCCCCTCCCCCTCCCCCGCCTCCATTCCCTCTCACCAGTCGTTGCTTCAGAGTGGCGGCACACCCGTGACCCGTAATGGCCTGCTAGAGACCCGTCTGGGACAAGGGCCTTGACTTGGCCCGGCAGGGCGTGGCCATCGACACAAGAGAAGCCACATCTTCCCATCCCACCTCTCACACCCCTCCCATCTCACCCCCATGCGTCTGCAGAGCGGCAGCACCCCCGAGACGTGCAACGGGCTGCTGGAGGAGCAGCGGGTGACCCGCGAGAAGGGGCTGCCCTTCACACCCTTCCCGCCATCTCTCCCTCGCCCCCCCCCAACCCCCGCCACTCCCCCCTCCTCCATCCCCTCCCTCCCCCATTCGCAGAGCGGCGGAACCCCAGAGACGCGCAACGGGCTGTTGGAGGTGCAGAGGGTGTTCCGGGAGAAGGGGCTGGACTTCGCGCGGCAGGGCGTGGCCATCACGCAGAGGGGGTCGCTGCTGGACGAGACGGCGCGCATGGAGGGGTGGCTCGCGCGCTTCCCCATGTTCGACTGGATCGGAGGGCGCACGTCCGAGGTCTCGGCCGTGGGGCTGCTCCCTGCTGCCTTGCAGGTGGGCTAAGCTCATTGACTCCAAGGCCTGGTGCTCCAGGTGGGCTTTAGCTGTTGGTTTAGCTGCTTATGCGTACCTGCTTGCTGTTCCTGCGGCCGTTTGCTGCTCTCCTTCTCCTGCACTCATCTCGGCAAGGCACAGCTCCCATGCTCACTCGGTATTCCCATGCTGCTGTTTGGGCCTTGGGATCGTTTCGTATGTTGCTGTTGTGACGGTGCACACATTTGCATCTCTCTTTGTGTATTTCCGCATGACTGTGTTCGCCTGTGCCTGTATGCATGTGTATGCTTGTGTGCTTGTGTGTGCGCGTGTGCACCAGGGCATTGACATCCGTGAGATGCTGCGAGGAGCGGGCATCATGGATGAGTCTACCCGCATTCACAAGGTCAGAAACACGCCATGCCATCCCATGCCGTGCTTTGCCATGCCACGCCATGCCATGCCATGCCGTGCTTTGCCTGTTGTTTCCGTGTTTGGTCTGAATCGTGCACCATTTTTGAGTCGACTCAAAAATCACATGCCGTGCTTTGCCTGTTGTTTCCGTGTTTGGTCTGAATCGTGCACCATTGCTTCTCATGCAGTGCTCAACGTAATGCCGCTCAGCAGCCAACTCCTTTCAGCCACATACTTCCTTCCCCCCTTCGGCCCATTTCCTTCCCACCAATCTCTGTTCACATTGAATGGACTTAACTGTCACCTCGCCACTTTCTGCCTCCCTCCTTGATCCCTTCCTCGCTCCCTCCTTTATCCCTTCCTCGCTCCCTCCTTGCCATACTTGCCTGTCCCATCTCCCTCCCCCACCCCCTCCCTCCCTCCCTCCCTTCCCTCGCATATGCTTCTCCTGGTCCCTCAGATTCGCAGCAACCCAGCGGCTCTGCTCGCCCTCTGCTGGTACTGGGGATGCGACGGCATTGGCGCCAAGGTGAGCCAGTCAGCTTTTTCAGCTCATGCACCGCTTGCGGTCTGCATGTGGCGAGATAGGCTCTGCTTCAAGCCCTGCTGCAATCTGCAAGCAACCCAGCGGCTCTCCTCGCCCACTGGCAATCCTCTTGTGCCCGGAACATGGTGGTGCTGCCCTGCAAGGTCAGCCTCCTTCTCTTCACCCGCTACCTGCAGCAGCTCATTGCGTTGCACTCATGGCCCGCTGACAGCACCCCTGCGCTGCACCCTGCCCCCCTGCCTGCCACACACTCTTCCCCCCCCTCCCCCCCCCAAGGACATGGTGGTGCTGCCCTACAAGGCCAGCCTGCCTGCTGCTTTGTAACCTGCTTGAACACGGTAACCGGTGCTGCTGCAATGTAGCCTTTCTGCACTCTGCAACCCGTCTACCCTCCCCCAGGACATGGTGGTGCTGCCCTACGAGGCCAGCCCGCTCCTCCTCAGCCGCCACCTGCAGCAGCTCACAGCTTGGCACTGGCGCCCTGCTCTTTGCACACTCTTACCCTCCGCCATGCTGCACCGTGCCCCCCTGCCTGCCGCTGGCTATTGCCATTGCCCCTCCTCCAGGACATGGTGGTGCTGCGCTACAAGGACAGCCTGCTGCTCTTTGCATGGCGCTGATGCACTGCTGACAGCACCCCTGCGCTGCCCCTGCCCCCTGCTTGCCACACACCCTGCCCCCTTGCTCCCCTCCCGCAGGACATGGTGGTGCTGCCGTACAAGGACAGCCTGCTGCTCTTCAGCCGCTATCTGCAGCAGCTCATCATGGAGTCGGTGGGCAAGGAGTTTGATCTTGATGGCAAGCGGGTAAGCCTCACTGTCTGAGATATTTCAAGAGCCCACCACTTGAACTGCCTTGACAGTCTTCCCGCAGCAGCTCATCATGGAGTCTGCGGGCAAGTCTTACCTTTGAGGCGCCTTAGAAGCCAACCTTGGGAAAGCCTACCTGCAGCAACTCATCATGACGTTGGGCGGGTAAGAGCTTAACCTCGATGCCAAGCGGGTACGCTTCGCCTTTCCGGCGTAAAAGGGGGGGAAAAGAAGACGCAGTCTTTTGAGGCACGTCATATACCTACATTCTGGGGCCCCTTAAAGGCCTACCTGCAGCAGCTCATCATGGAGTCAGTGGTGGGTGAGAAGAGCATATCTACAAGCAGTTACTAACAGACAAAGCGTGAGACCCCGCACAATTTTCTTCGGTCCTGCGCGATCTTGTCGCGCAATTATTATCCTCCCTTGTTACATAAGTTTTCTTGTTATCTACCCTCATTCGCAGTCTGCGCCTTCTCTCACCCCGTTCACAACTCCCTCCACCCCTCACTGTTTGCCGGCGCGGTGCACTGTGTGCTGCGCACGGGTAGATCAGGGGCTCACGGCGTACAGCAATGCCACCTCTCTCCTTCCAACCGCATCTAGCCTCAACCTCTGAAAATCCCATTCACTTTCTCACGGTGTTGTGTGCAGTGTCCTGTTCGCTGTCTGCAGGTGAACCACGGCGTCACATTGTACGGCAACCCGTTGTTACCCCTTCCAACCATGTCCCACCCCTTTCTGTGCACTCCTCTTTGACCTTCACACTTGTCATTGTGAGCAGGTGAACCAGGGCCTCACGGTGTACGGCAACAAGGGCAGCACGGACCAACACGCGTGAGTGCCTCAAGGATTCACGGATGCGAGGGGATGTGGTTGGGGGCGGGGCGGGTGGGTGTGTGGGTGTGTGGGTGTGTGTGTGTGTGGATGTGTGTGGGTGTGTGTGTATGTGTGGGTGTGTGGATGTGGGCGTGTGCGGGGGGGGGGGTGTGGGTGTGTGGGTGTGTAGGTGTGTAGGTGTGTGGGTGTGTGGGTGGGTGTGTGGGTGTGTGTGTGGGTGTGAGCGTGTGTGCATGTGCGCGCGTGTGTGTGTGTGTGAAGGGGGGGGGGGAGGGGAGGGGTATCCTTGCCACTGCATTTGACCACGTTCTTCCCTTTGTTACAACCACGTCAACAACTACATCCAGCAGCTGCGCAAGGGCGTGCCCAACTTATCTTTTCACTCTCCTCCTCTCTCCCCCCCTCTCCCTTTCCTCCCACCATCTGTGTGTGCCCCCCACGGTGCCGGTGTTCACAGCTACATCCAGCAGCTGCGCGAGGGCGTGCCCAATTTCTTTGCCACGTTCATCGAGGTCCTCAAGGACCGCCAGGGCGGCAGGGACTGGGAGCTGGAGCCCGGTGTGACGTGCGGGGACTACCTCTTTGGCATGCTGCAGGTGGGATACGGGAGGGGGGGGTGCAGGTGGGATACGGGAGGGGGGGGTGCAGGTGGGATACGGGAGGGGGGGGTGCAGGTGGGATACGGGAGGGGGGGGTGCAGGTGGGATAGGGGGAGGGGGGGGTGCAGGTGGGATAGGGGGAGGGGGGGGTGCAGGTGGGATACGGGAGGGGGGGGTGCAGGTGGGATACGGGAGGGGGGGGTGCAGGTGGGATAGGGGGAGGGGGGGGTGCAGGTGGGATACGGTAGGGGGGGGTGCAGGTGGGATAGGGGGAGGGGGGGGTGCAGGTGGGATAGGGGGAGGGGGGGGTGCAGGTGGGATAGGGGGAGGGGGGGGTGCAGGTGGGATACGGGAGGGGGGGGTGCAGGTGGGATACGGGAGGGGGGGGTGCAGGTGGGATAGGGGGAGGGGGGGGTGCAGGTGGGATACGGTAGGGGGGGGTGCAGGTGGGATAGGGGGAGGGGGGGTGCAGGTGGGATAGGGGGAGGGGGGGTGCAGGTGGGATACGGGAGGGGGGGGTGCAGGTGGGATAGGGGGAGGGGGGGGTGCAGGTGGGATACGGTAGGGGGGGGTGCAGGTGGGATAGGGGGAGGGGGGGTGCATGTGGGATAGGGGGAGGGGGGGGTGCAGGTGGGATAGGGGGAGGGGGGGGTGCAGGTGGGATAGGGGGAGGGGGGGGTGCAGGTGGGATAGGGGGAGGGGGGGGTGCAGGTGGGATAGGGGGAGGGGGGGTGCAGGTGGGATAGGGGGAGGGGGGGGTGCAGGTGGGATAGGGGGAGGGGGGGGTGCAGGTGGGATAGGGGGAGGGGGGGGTGCAGGTGGGATAGGGGGAGGGGGGGGTGCAGGTGGGATAGGGGGAGGGGGGGGTGCAGGTGGGATAGGGGGAGGGGGGGGTGCAGGTGGGATAGGGTGAGGGGGGGGTGCAGGTGGGATAGGGTGAGGGGGGGGTGCAGGTGGGATAGGGTGAGGGGGGGGTGCAGGTGGGATAGGGGGAGGGGGGGGTGCAGGTGGGATAGGGGGAGGGGGGGTGCAGGTGGGATAGGGGGAGGGGGGGGTGCAGGTGGGATAGGGGGAAACGACGGGCTGCAGGGGAGATTCGGGGTGAGGTGCTCACAGACTGACAGAGCGGCAGGGAGTGGGGGAACAGGAGCCAGGGGTGACGTGCAAGGACTACCTGCTTGGCATGCTGCAGGCGAGCAAGGGGAACTGGAGTGCAGGGCGGATAGGGAGGTGCCCGGCCAATTTGCCACGTTCATTGAGGTGCTCACTGCTCACTGACCGCCAGAGCAGCCGCGACTGCGAGCTGGAGTCTACCTTGTGGGGGGATGACTTGTGGGGACTACCTTTTCGGCATGCTGCAGGTGGGGAAAAGGAAGCGGAGCGGGGTTGGGGGAGGGGGTGTTGGTATGCTACAGGGGGGAGTGGGTTGTGCTCACGGACCAGCAGAGCGGCGTGGGGGTTTCAGCAAGAACGTTTTAGCACGAAATAGCTATTGCTTTTTAAAGTTCAACCTGATACATCGCCTGTTGCATCCTCACTCACTAGCGCCCTGATCTGGGAGGTTCGACATTGCAGCTCGGATTCTCGTGAGGTAAGCTAGAATCTGTGCTTAAAGCCCGTGGCCCAAATTGCGAGGCGCGACCTTCAAACGCACTGCGTTTGAAAGTCGCGTTTTCGTGGGTGTAGATGGGGGTAACGTGACTCGCGTCACTCGGGGCTGGCTTTCAAGTTCAGCGCGGAACGTATTTTGGGACACCAAGTGCCTCGCGTTTTTTAGCCGTCCAATATTTGTTGATTTCCATCTAACGGCGCGCAAGTAAAGTGCTTCCCCCAGTCAATCGAAATGTAATCTCAGCCGTCGCACTGCCTGCTTGCAAATCGGACGATCTACGACAAATGACGAATTCGCGACATGAAATACCCTCACGAGTTTCCTGTGTATTTCGTCCAGGCCGAGGCTCACAGTTCATACGCAGTGCGTATGAACAATTTGGGCCGCGGGTTTTAAACTTGATCGAATAGCTAAGACGTGGGGGGATTAGGTCGTGAGATGCGTGTTAGGGTTTCGTAAGTTGTGTGGTGGATGGGTTTGGTTTTCTAGATGCGGTGGGGTTTGATGCGGTTGGGAGCGTGGGAGGGGTTGGAAGAATGTTTGGGGGGTCAAAAGTTGGAATCGCGAATTCGCGAGGCCACGGATGGCTTCGCCGTGTCATCGCGAATCACGAAGAAGAAGAAGAATCGGAAGAAGAAGAAGAAGAAAAAATCAATCGTGCTTTTTTGTCCGGGCTGCCCCGAAAATTTTCCCCCAGCGTTACGCGAATTTCAGGTAAATTCACAAACGCGAATTTACGCTTACGAATTTACGCAAAACGCTGGGGGACCCCAGCGAATTTTCCCACTTAGGTGCAAGGGAGACTTCTGCTCAACGCCGTTCCACCCTCTACCCCCCCGCCTCTCCTCCCTGGCAGAGCAAGCGCTCGGCCCTGTATGCGAACAAGAGGGAGTTCGTCACGCTGACCATCAGAGACGTGGATGCAGATCTCCCTCTCCCCCACTCCTTTGCACCGTTTTCAACCCTCCCCCAGGGCACTCGGTCCGCCCTGTACTCGAACAAGCGGGAGTCGATCACTTTGAGCATCAAGGACGTGGATGCGGCCACAGTGGGCGCCATCATCGCTCTCTATGAGCGTGCCACGGGGCTGTATGCGTCGCTCATCAACGTGAACGCGTATCACCAACCAGGTGAGTGTTGTCTGAAATGGAGGAACATGCTGTTATCTAGCGAGGGACAGGGTCATCAACATGCGCTGTACTTATTTGGCCATGTCTCATGCCCCATGCTCCATGGCCCATGCTCCATGCCCCATGCTCCATGCCACATGCCCCACGCCCCACGCCCCACGCCCCATGCCCCATGCCCCACGTGCTGCACTGTTGGCAGGAGTGGAAGCGGGCAAGAAGGCAGCAGCTGAGGTGCTGGCGCTGCAGAAGAGAGTGCAGGCAGTGATCAATGACGCGAGGTGAGATCAATGACGCGAGGTGAGGTCAATGACTCGAGGTGAGGTCAATGACGCAAGGTGAGGTCAATGACGCGAGGTGAGGTCAATGTCGCAAGGTGAGACCAATGCTGCGAGGAGAGGAGTTGGTGAGAGTGCAGATGGTGTTCGGTGGTGCCAGGTGGGCTGGTTGGAGGGAGAGAAGAAGAGTGGGGGTTAGGGAGAGGGGAGGGTTTGGGGGGAGAAGGGTAGTTGGTATGATGCCAGGTGGGGTGGCTGCTGAAGTTGCAAGGGTGGACTTGAAGGTTGAATGTGCAATTCTCTTGTGATTCATTGGTTTGGCCGCTAAACCACATGACAGTCACTACGGTATTCTATGAATTGCCACTCATTGTCACATACTTGCCTCTCCGTTTTCCCACCTGCAAGAATGTTTGGTTTTTGAGAGTTTTCATCAATGAACTGTCACTCAATTTCGTTGTCATGATCATACATGCCTCTTCATCTTCATCTTCCCTTGGGCAGCTGCAAGGATCCTGTCGAAGCTCTCACCATCCAACAGATTGCCAAGCGAGCACATGCAGAGGCACAGGTGAGCATGCAGAGGCACGGGTGAGTGGGCATGTGCAGTGCTGCACTAAGGGTTTAATGTAGCAGCATATAGTGCATGTTCATAAGACACATTCACTTCTGGCAGCTGCATAAAAAACATGAATACAAGCTCGCAGCAGGCATGTGCAGAGTTGTGAGGCAGCATGCTCTAACAGGGGCCTCTGTAGGTGGTTCTGATGTGGTTCGGCATTAGTTGTCTAAATGTTGCATTTCACCCTTCGGCAGTGCGGCTGATAGATACATCCCGTCTGACATCATGCACTCCCGTGCCTACAGATTGAGACCGTATACAAGATCATCCGGCACATGGCAGCCAATGACAGGGCCCTTTTGATTGGATCGGACATCAACACACTCACGGTGCTTGCGGAAGAATGCCCTCCAGATTCTTAGGTGTCCTATATAGATTGTAGGGCTTCATGTTTTTTAACCTTTCCATAACTCCTGTCCCTGTGTTTAAACATTGAGGTTCACTGTCAAATGGTTTGCACTCCCATCGCACCCCAGGCATCTAGTTCTGGTCTTGGCTGTCGACCAATCTAAAGAATTCGGAAAGGGATGATGCCATTTGTACAGTTGCGTTGCCACGAAGCACACTTGTTGCTGGTTGATTCATATGATTGGCCGAGTTAAACCTTACCCAAGGAATAGGCTAGCCAGAAACGGTAAATGAAGGACACGTTGACTGGGATACTGAATGCTTGGACCCTCTGTCGTGAGAGCCTGTAACGGGCTGGCTCTTTGTTGACGAAATTCCCATTGAAGCTCCGTGATGTTGATCAAGTCAATCTATCGTTGAATGGACGAGAGTACAAAGTGACCTAGTTCACCCTTCAAGCTGTAGCTTGCTTCAAGAAGGCGATCAGATCCGCTCTCTCCTGAGGCTTCTTGAGACCTGGGAAGACCATCTTGGTGCCGGGAATGTACTGCGATGAGAAAAACAGTTGGATGATAGATCAGAATAGAGAGGCGCTAGTGAAGATCGATCAATGGATCTGCGAGAAAAAGAGAACTGGGAGCCAGAACGGAGGAGCTAAGATCCGGGCGACCCACGACAGCCTACCTTCTTAGGGTTCAAGAGGTAGTCGTAAAGGGTCTCCTCGCTCCAAAGAACTGCAGCGTTCTTATTGGCATTCGAGTACGAATAACCCTCGATGGTTCCAGACTGCCTGCCGAAAAGCCCAGCCAGATTTGGGCCTGCAAATGAAGATGCCATGATGTTCGCGTAAGGCTCGCTCTTCGATCCAGCAAAACGACAAAATACTTCCTCCTAGCCTGATCGTCCTACCTTGCTTGTGTCCACCACCCTTCTCTGCCACGTGGCACTGAGCGCACTTGGTCTTGAAAATCTTAGCTCCGACGTCGGGGTTACCAGCCGGGGCTTCTGCGAAGGTAGCCATGGCTGAATACCTCACAAGGTATCAAAACGAGCTAGAAAGCTAGCTGACGGGAGATGCGAAGAACGAGCCGTTAGCGCGGACAGACGGTTGGTGGCTAAGGTAGGAGGCAACAACCAAAAAAGAGCTGTGAGGGTGGTTGGTGGGGGAAAGGCAGAGGACAAGGCCAAATGCTTTTCTGTTCCTGGCCTCGTTTGAACCACATGCTGGTCATTTCCTGCCCCAGCTCAAGCGCTGAGGGGCCAGCTCAAACTCACCCCCTTCAAGGGCACAGCAGGAAGGGGAAGGTTGTTTGGCGGCGCTCGGCGCTCGGATGCTGGCCGTTAGATGGACAGGGGGAACTCCCGATCACAAGCTCAACTCCACGGTTTGCGGAGAAATTTTGCCAGCGAAGCACGCGGCGAAGTTTCATAACATCAATCTAGCTGGATGTCCTGGCTGTTGTGCTCAAACAAAAAGCTCAATACACGACCAAACGTGATTGAGGAACATACAATATAGTACTCAAATTAGTTCCACACACTAGTGTTTGCGACCGACGCAAGACCGACAGATGACAAGCAGGTTCTATGAAGAAAAATGAAGCACAAGAGCACAATCTGGGCTTGAAACGAATCGCAATGTCACAAAGGGCTTTACAAAATCAGGATCCTAGTTTGTTGAACATTAATAATTTACAACAAAGCAATGCAAACGGTCCTGCACTGAGGTTAACTAGAAGGGCAGGAGATTCAATGAAAACAAACCATTTCGAAAACCATAGTGCCCTGCTATGACTCCAACAGATGTCCTCAATTCTTGGGCTTCAAGGCAAAGGATTGTCTGGGGGGAAATAAGTGCAGTTCCACCAGTAGGTGTAGCTGCTGTAGGTGCACTGGCGCGGGCTGGCACTCCAACAGGAAGAGGGCGCTTTGCAGGTCCCTGCACCACAGGAAACGCCACTGCAGCACATGCACTGGCTGTAGCACGAGTTGTAGTTGTTGGTCCGTTGAGTGGTAGTCCCCCCAAGTGTAGCCGCCGTATCAGTGCACTCTTGCTGGCATGCATTATCCCGGTACTTGCAGCAAGGACCCGTGACGTTACCCATCATTATACTGCAATCTGAAGTGGCGGGAAACGGCCAGGTGGGATAGGGGCAGATGGCATAAGTGCAGCCATAGCCAGCGAGAGGAGCCAGGCCCATGCGGTTGAAGCAGGCGCTGACGCATCCTCCGGCACAAGGCTGGTCTGCTACTACTGGAACGGCGAAGTTACAGAGGGCATCGCAGTACGATGGGTAGGTGACCAAATCAGATCCGCACACAGAGAGAGACGTTGCGCAGCCACAGTCAATGGCACCGATCTTGCCTATACAGGGGATGATGAGGTTGGTGCCAGCGACAAGAGGAGCCGATGCATTGGCGATGAAATTGGCAGCTGCGATGGCAACAGGAGAGATGGAGGTGGACGTGCAGCGAGGCACGTAGATGGATGAGATGTCAGCGATGGTTTCGTCGGTGCGGACGGTGTGGATGGTGTAGGACACGTTGGGTGCTCTCTGCATAGTTGTCAGGATGGGTGAGTCGATGCAGACCTGCTGGCCAATGGCAAGGTAGGGAGCCTGGCACTGCAAGGGGTAGGTGGGAGGGGAATAAGAATGAGGCGGAAAGAGGTAAGGAGCATGGCACTGGAAGGGGGACATGGGGAAGTGGATCTCATTGTAACGGGATATTTGATGGCAGTGATAGAATGCAGGTGGCAACGATATACGAGTAACATACTATTAGGCATCCAAATATGAAGGCACCCGAGAGGTGGATAGTTTAAAAACTACCAACTAGAGCTTGAATAACTCTATAAACATACCTGGATGCCGGGGTTGATGGCGAGGAACATGGACATGGTGAGGTTGGCTCCATTCCAAATAGAGGGGCATGTGTCGCCCTGCATCACACGATAGAAGCCCGTGCAGTTGATGGTCGTCTGGTTGAAGAGATAGGGGGGAATAAGTAGGGGAAGGGGGGTGGGGGAGGGGGAGTGGGGGGGACAGCGGAGAGCACAGAAGGGAGGAGAAAAAATGAGGCGCTGGATTCATGTCACTTGCGACTTAGGGCAAACGATTAAGGGGGGAGAGAGAGAGAACAGAAGCTGGCTGGTGCTCGGTACTTACAGCGGATGATTTTGGTGCCACACAGACGTAGGATCCAACAGTGAGGGTGCTGCTGCAGTTGAGACCCGGGTTGAGGCTGCACACACGAGAAATATGAAGATTTAGGTGGGTAGGAAAGGGAATGAGCTAGGGGACGAAGGTGGGCGGAAGGAAAACTTAACATACTGAACAAGAAGGGTGGGAGGAAGGTGGACGGCAAGTGGGAAGCCTAAGGTCAGGGAAAATCAAAGGAAGCAGGAGGCACTTACGTCACAAAAGTTGATGTGCTGATAATATATTTAGTGGCGAGTGAAGCGCACGTGTCTCCAATGAGCACCGCAACGCTTTGCCCACATTGTACAGCAGACGATGTAGTCGATGCCGGAATCATTTCAAGACAAATCTGCTGCGACTTGAACAGGCGCTTGCAGGATAAGCCGGGGTTGTTCGTGGCGAGTGCAGTTAGCGAACCGTTGAAGAAATTATTCGCTATAGTGTAGCAGGTGTCTGAAGGTCGGACAGTGTATGTGGTCGTGCAATAAGAGGATAAGGAAGTCACAGATCCAGATACAGTAAGCGCAATCCCAGGAGGAAGGTATTCTGTAACGGAGCAGTTGATAAACGTGTTGAGAGCGGTTAGGGTGGAGGTCGAAATCCCGAAAGCTGTCGCGACCGTCGTGCAGTTGTCGCCAGGGAGGGTAACGTAGGATTTCGCGAGCCCAGCGGCAGGCATGCACGTTGGCGAACCGTCCACGGCAGCGCCGATGGCGTAACCCGATGCGCACGCGCAGGTGTACGTCCCGTCGCCCACATCTGAGCATGTTCCGCCGCCGCAGGGATTCACAAGGGCAGCCAAGCACGGATATCGCGGCACGCATTTTGACGTGGGGACGCCCAGCACCTCAACGAAAGTCGTGAGCGCGCTGCAGTTGCACCGCGGGATTCCGCCGCTCATGTAGCAACTCCCCCCGCCGCAAGGGTTGATCATACCCGTGCACGCCGTCGAAGTCTGCGTGGTTGTCTTGAGGGAAGAGTCGGTGGATGAACCAATCAGCAGCGAGGACGTCGGGTCGCTAAAAGACGCAACCGTCGCGGTGCTAGTACTGGTCGTGGTGCTGGTCGTGCTCGTGGTTGTATCGATGGAGAGAGTCGAGGCGAAGAGCGACGACGAGAGGTCGTCCACTTTGTTGATGTTCCACTTGCCACGCTTGTCGGACGAGAAGCGCGCCGGCTGCTGCCCCGATGGGAAGTAGACGGGGTACATGGCGGGGGTTCTGCGGGGAAACGCGGGAAGCGAGGAGAGGTGGGGGAAGGGGACGACGGTAGGGAGAGTTTAGGTGAGAAGAGTGGCGCTTGATGCAACGGGGAAGAGGAGGAAACAATATGAGAGGTGCGAAACACCTTCTCGGCGCTATTAGCAGAAAAAACTTTGCCGCGGCTGCCGTTCAGAGGTGACCGTCTCGAACGACAAACGGCGTCAACAGATTTCTGCCTTGATAAACGCGGCGCACAACTTACGAGAGGATCCCGCATTTCCCGCGCACGTCGGGCGACATCGTGAGGTACATGTAGCCGTGGTCGCCCCACGTAGCAAACCACGAGTTCTTGATTATCCAGTAGCTTCCTTTCAGATCCGGCCCCGTGTAGTTGAATCCAACCACCACCACCGCGTGGTTCACCTCCGTCGTGCACAGCCCGTTGTAAATGTTGAGCGTATCTTGGCTCTTGTACATCTGGTGGGAAGAGTAAGCGGCCAGAAAGCAGGTTGGGGAAGGACGTGGCTAGTAGCTGACGGTCCTGAGGGGCAGGGCGTCCAGGAGCGAAGTCGAGACGTCACTCTTGCTGGCAATGGGCGCGAGGCAGGCACCAAACGAAGGAAGGGGGAAGCTTATTGAGCGGGCACCAGGTAAAGCCCGGCAGGTGAGCCCTGACAGCTTTACGCGAGAAGGCCCAGCGCAAGGGGAAGCGGGGTTTTTGAAGGGATATTAGGAATGCGTAGATGGGGAGCTTACCGCGAAGTCTGGAGTCGACGCGCTGAGAAATGCGACGACCGGCTGCTTCGAGACGGCCTTCATGAGCGCCATGCGGTTGAACGCTGGCACCAGCTCCCACCCCGTGATTTGCGCCGTGGACGGCATGGTTGTGTCGAGCAGACACGTGTCAGAATCGTACGCCAGGTACGGGTAGTTGGTGTTGGAGGTGATTCCGCCGTTGAAGAGCACGTAGGAAAACGCCCAGTCGGGCCAGCCGCCCAGGCAGCACTGCTTCGTCGCACAGTCGCACACCTGCTGCGGCGACAGCGGATCTGCGGCGGCGTTTTTGGCAATCGCCCACATCATGGAGATAGAGTCGACGGCTGCGATTGCCCAACAGCTTGAGCACTGCGAAGGAAGGCGATGAGGGAGAAGGAAAGTCACCGAGATCAGCTTTAGCTTTGGAATGGAGGTTCCACGCGAACAACGGCGTCAGCTATTTTTGGGATGCCTGAACAGCAAGTAAGGCGGGAGGGAGATAAGGAGCAAGGACGCATTCCGCCTGGAAAACGAGAGACATGGTTAGACCCTAATCTCCATGTAAGACAAGAAGGGGAGTTGAAACGGAAAGCAAGCACGTGGCAGTAGCTCTGTTGAACTGTTAATCCACCTGTTGTCCAGTAGCTCACTCTCTCGTGACGCAGCGTTGAGCTGGGAGAGCAACTCACCGAAAACTGAGTCTGGATGGGCGTGATGGCGGCAGTCGTGCGCCAGTCGACGACGGGCGGCGGCGCGACGCTCTCCCAGCGGTAGAACGACATGTTCACCACCGCCATGCTCGGCCCCGAGCTGAGCGGCGGCGCCGCCAGACCCAGCTTCGTCGCCGTGTCGAGCAGCAGCCGCTCGTTCCGCTCCGCGTCATCGTCACCGTTGGATTCTCTCGCAATGCCGCGCGTGTCTTCTGCTAGAATGCGCTCCTTCTGCTGTTGTCTCGGCTCCAGGGGAAGCCCGAGTGTCTTTCGCATGAAGGCCTCGAAATGTGAGGGACTCGAAGCGGCAGAGCCGGCGACTGCTAGCGATACTGATGTGCTAACAATGAGAAGTAGAAGGACGGCCGACGAGAGCCTTCTGTGATACCCCATGTTCACCGTTGAAATTGGTCAGTTACCAGGTGAGCTCAAGACTTCTAAATGCACGTTCGACCTAGTACCATGGATCCAGCCTGTCTTAGTAGGTTTCTGAAGCACCAATAGTCATCTTTGAATGGCAGAAAGTGTTTGGTAGGCTATGGCGCCAAGTGTTTTGTATTTAGCTGCTCAGTCTCCGAGAGAGTACGGGAGCACACGTTACTTCGTACCTACCAGCCCTTGACTGTGGTTGCGGCGAACTAAAAAGTTAGTTGGTCGTTAGTTAATCCTGAAAGCTGGCCAGCTTTCCACGTGAATGCTGCATGCTCACACACCCATCCCTCTTCATTATTCGTTCAAACAGTTGTTCGGTCTGTCGCAACCAAACATCAACAGAACTGCCAGCAACATGTCCTGTCGGGCCACCAGCCTCTTGTACAGCTACAGTACTCTGAATACAGAGAAATGTGCTGATAAGCTAAGTGTTTTGTTAATCCTCGAAACAAATTCGGTACGAGACACCCCCTCTAATTGTACGAAATTCCCTTCCCCACGTGCCCCTGCCTGCACGCAAACAACGAAAAAGCTTCCGATAGTGTTCACGAAAACGTCATCGGACGATTTTGCTATCCACTTTTTAGGGGGAAAGAAACCACCCTAAAGCCTTTTGCCAAAAAGTCATGCGGAACAATGCTGCAGAGTGTGGGAAGCAGGAGGACAACGCCAAAATATCGCGAATGCTCCATCCGCTTGCCTATCACAGGGCAACACATCGGGAAACACTGAACAGGTCAGTTTTCCGTCAGAGCCTTCAAATTCCGAAACATCTGTGGAACCCCGGTCCCTTTTCCTTTTGCATCCGCCCAGCCGCCTCCACCAAAAGGCCTCATCCAGGCTCCCAGGCTCCGTCCAGCCAGAGACCAGGCCTCTCGCTAAGCCCCAGGATATTCCGGAAGGGGACGGAATCGCCTCTGGATAACCCGTTGACAGACGGAATCCCTCCAAACAAACCCGTTACCAAAGGGACTCGGCCGTTACAAATTCGGCTAGCAAGGAATGAGGGGGGGGGGGGGGGTTGTGTGCAAGGGGGAGGGTATGGATGAGAAGAGGTAGGAAACGGTACCCCCTAGAGATTCCCCTAGTGCAAGTACAGCCCGTACGGATTCAAAAATGAGTTCTTCGTTAGGCTAAGAAATCGAGCGAAATCGTTTCCGTCAGCTGGACGGATTTGAAAACGAAATGCACCGTAAACAAACGGAGTCTCTGCAATCTAACTCTTCATTTCTCGAAACTAATAGTAAATACCCTGTCAGCGAGAGGCCCAGGGACCATCCCAGCCCTTCCGCAGCCAACGGATTCCTCCCGCCCAACCACGCCTTCGTGCCTCGAGGAACCGAGAGGACGCACAGTTCTGCTGGTGTGGGAAAGCAGGCCAAACTTCAGGTGGGAGTTCTCGCCTTGCCGTGCCTTGGTGCTTGGTTTGGTAACCGACAGCGTCCTGGGTGATACGACAAGCTGCGTCCACCTGGGGGCAGACTGCCTGGTTCGGGGTCCACAAACCAGTCCTTGTCTGCTAAAAAAAAAAGAGGAAAATTGTGTATGAGCATGTTGGGATCTATAGATGTTCCACTCCCCAACGTTGCGCTATTGCTGTAATATGTCATATTTCTGGCATACGCTGGAACAAGAGTCGCACTGAGAGTGAACTTGATGGCAATTCTTGCCAGGGAAACTTGAAATTCCAAAGAACAGACAACAATGTCAGGTGGGGCTGGCTGGTTGGGGACAGTGCCACCCGACCAACAAACAGAACAGTACAAAATCCAGGAGGCACGGAACGGACAGAACACAAAGTGTGCGACCAATGGCCATTGGCCATGGTGCTGTACACACGTAAGGAAATGGAATTAGCTAGTAAAGCGTACACCTCTATAGCTTGTAAAGCGTTCACTGCTATAAAGGGGTTGCCGCTCAGATCTTCCAGAAAAAAAATATCTCTTCACGCAAATGCGCTCCGTGCCAATTTGTTGTCACACGTCTCACATCTGTCGATCCTCGACCGTATGCTCCAGGCCTAGCTATATTCTAGCTATCGTTTGTTTTGATGTTGCCTCATTCTGTAGTATATTCAACACTCGTTGTTTGCTCCTCGTTACACGTGTTCGTCGTGTTGGAATATATATTATGCAGTAATTGCTTCAAGTGTTACACTACTCGAAGTGTAGTGTGGAGGAAGTCCCTAGTAAGAATCTGACGAGTCAAAGGGGCACAGTCGCACGTGGTGCGATGCGACCCTTCAGCTTCGGATCACTACCATTCGGCCAATCGCCAAGATCTGGCGAGTCAACGCAGCTGCAACCTCACATGACACGAGGTTGCGTAGATTGGACTTCCCGATGGCGCAACCAGCGGTTGCGATCCTGAAGCAGAACAGTTGCGAAGCGCAACTAAAACAGGGCTAACCAAATGTAAGGAATTACCATTCCTTACCGGGGCTCGCTTCAGCGAGTACACGCTGTCGTGGCACTGGGATAACCCTGTCCATCCTCTCTCTCTCTCTCTCTAGGGAGGGTACTGGATAGGCTTTCCCCAGGGAAGGTGGATATATGGAGCCTAACCCTCCTGATGGCATCCCTTCTTGTCCTAGTGGTTAGGACTGGTGACTTAATGGCACACGCGACCCCTTCGGGTCCGCAGGCTCGGCCTGTAGAAGTGAACCGCGTGTTTAGGGTGGCCATGATCTAGTATTGGTGGAACCACATGTAGAAAGTCACCTTGTATTGGAAATGTCCGAAAAGACAAGGATAATAATAATGAGTAATACTTACATATTTATAGTCTAGGAAGTACTTATTCAGAATATACCTGTTCGTAGTGTATCGCGACTATGTGCGTGATATGACTAGTGACTGCTCGTGTGACTAAGAGTGGCGTGAACCTTCGGGTGACTACACGGGCGAACCTACAGTTCACGCGTTGACTCGCTACTGCTGACGTCATCACGCGCGTCCTTCCATATGAGGTATCGCGCTACTAGTATAGTCTACGTATGATATCAAGAATGCATAAGTATACTCTGTCGAGTATACTTCAACACGGCCCTCAAGTCACGCGCCAAACCAGCCCCCGCCGACCTACTCAGTCCCCAATCTCATCCCGAGTCGCCCCGAACCCATTTCGCCCTCATCACCCTCGGGACTCTCGGCCCTTGACTGGTCCAACCGTCGACATTCAACTCTGGTCAATCGCCCTATATATTCCCTAGGCCTCATTTCAATCAAAATTCTGTAGTCATGCTCCTCTATCGGCGAAGGGGGCAGAAGGATGCTGATGGCGAGCGGACGACACGGTGATTAATTAGCCGGGCGTTTCCGATTCCGTCGGATCCTGTCCGATGGACGGCGGGGATTAGCCGGTCCTCCCCTTCCCCGGTCGTGGGAGGAATTATTTTATGTCCTAGTGTGGCGACGTTTTCACCGTGTTTTTCGGGTACGTTCGTTAGAGCTTTTGTAAATTTCGGGTGTTCAGACAGTCATCGGATTCGCTTACGAAAAAGCGAAGGCTTCGTCATGAGGAGACAAGTGCATATGAGTCCTCATGCGACTAAGAGTTGGTCGTCAGGAGCGTGCGGGGTAGTGAAATTGGTGGGACGCACGGCGATGTACGTCTGGCATGCCATGCAGTGGCAGGATGAACTGTAGCTGTGTCGCATGTTGTACCGGCGTTTCCGGCAGGCAAGTTGCAGACGATGGACGGGACTTCATAAACAATTTCGGCAATGGGCGGCCCTAACATATTCGGAACGACATGATTGCACGAGGCACGTGTTGGTGTGCAGTTGTGTGGGAGCAGCTGGAATTAACGACCTCGGCGCTATTCACCACGACGGCCATCTAGAGGTGATGACACTGTGCTGGAGTAAATGTACTCAGCGAGGGCGACTTCCCGTGTGGGGATGCGTTTTTCGTGGACCAGCGATTCATACCCCCACAATCAACGGAAACGGAGGCCACCACCCTTGGGTCTGTATTAAGTGTTTTTCCACCGGTCGTCGGAAGCGTTAACTGCCTGGAGCTAAAGCAGTAGAAGAAGAACGAGTACTGGAGCAGTTAAGGGTTAGCGGCATTTGGGCTGCTGCTTGCTCAGCTACGTTGCCCGAATATCACCATCCTCACCAGGTAGCAGTATTGAGTTATTAATCGACAGCTCTTGGCTGAATAAGGGGGTGAACCTGCAAACTACACTGTGCTGATGGACGACGCGGAGCCATGGAAGGAGGGCGTTAGGCACGTCGGCCTTCCATTTCGACGGGAACACTGTGGTAAACTGCGAGAAGTCAAGAAAGGTTTGTTCCTAGCCTCCACGCTTCCGCCCTAGGTGCTCCGTGTTCGTCTCCCACCCTAGCCTACACTCCTAGCCTAGCTTAGGCCCTTGTCAGCCGCCCTAGACTGCGCCCTAGCCTCCGCCCTAGTCCTAGCCCACTGCTTGCGCTGCCCGCTGCTGTCTGCTACTCGCTGCCCGTTGCACACCGCCTGCCGCTGCCGCTCACTGCTTGCAGTGCATGCCGCCAACACGCGCAGCCAACCAGTTTGCCACGGCCCGCTCGTCGCCCCCAGCTCGCTGCAGCCCCCTCATCGATGGCCCGCCCGCACCCGCGGCTAGGTGTGCTTGGCCTTGCCCTCAAGTTGAGCCTCCTGACATAGGAGGATCATAGCCCCTTTACCAGCAAACAGGACTGGGCCTGACCTAGGCCTCTCACCTAAGTCGGTGGGCAGGAACGTCAGTCAGCGGAGCTGCAGAACGGCCATAGCACCAGCGTAGATCTCTGCCTCACAACCGGACTTTACTACAAACAACGACCGAGTGGACCGCCACAAGACGACACCTGCACCAAGGCTGAAGAAGTAGCATTGTGAGGACCGGAGCGTTTCCAAGTCATCACCCCACGATGAGTCTGTATGTCCAGTGAGGACCACTAGCTCGTGTCCTCCCGGCAGAAGCCCCAGTCCTGATGTACTCGCCAGATAACGCAATACCCTCTTGCTAGCCGACCAGATCTCTGGTCGGTGTCTGCCAATCACAACGAAGTAAGCAAGGATACTGAGAGGGTACGCTACATCTAGACAAATGCAAGTCATCAGGTACATCAGGGA